CCCCAAAACCCCAAAACCCCAAAACCCCAAAACCCCAAAACCCCATATTGCGCACAAATATTGGGATATAATAGATTTTTAGATTTTAAAATGATGGTAAGTACATTGGGTAACTTCTAGACTTCAAATTTAACTACAGGACCCCTTGACATAGCAGCGTCTTACAAGGATTTTCTAATCAACGGCAAAAGCCTCCATCTGGTAAGATTTTAGATGAAAATTTGACAAAAAATTAAGAGATTGACCGCATAAAATTATCTTATGCTTACTTTGTTTATAGCTATAGTAAGCTAACTTGTTTTAGGCAAAGAATGGAAGAAATTACACAACTGTCTCAAATTTCCAGACTCTTCCACACAATATTATTTCGAGAACAAAGAAGAAAGTAAGCTATATACAAATTTCAAATTTGGCATACTCACCTCTACCTATAGAATAGAAGAGGAAGCCTGGATTACGGCAGAACGATAAAAATGGTAAACCAAAATCCTCACCTATAGAACAACACGGAGTTCCACCAAGAGATAAAAGTCCTGAGGCAAGATAATACTGCAATGAAGGAACAGAACAGACACATTCTGGCAGTCCTTAATGAGATAAAAGCTCTAATTCAGACCCAAAGTATGCTTGCTTCTTTTTAATGACTTCTTATAAACAAACTGAGTTATTTTTTTAATTTAAGCACATCATGCATTTAGGTCATAAGAAGTGCGACTGTGAAGAGGGAAAACCCGATAGTAAAAACCAAAGCGTGCTTGAAACAGTCAACCTGATGTACGAAACAGAGGTGGCCCCGACTGAGAATGATAACTTCTCTGATGGAAGAAGTGAACAAGAAGAAGATAAAGTTGTATGGGCTATGCTACAAACTTTAGGGAGCTAAGAGAAATGAAATAAAATTTAAGAACGTTCTTAATAATCGTCAGCAAAAACATATGTAAGAAACCCTTGATTTTGGTCTGAAAATTTGCTGGCTTAGTGAATGTCCGATAAAGTCTTTTTTATTTAGAGAATCTTTGCACGAGAAGTATCATGGTAACAATGAAAAAGTTTTAATTGAATTTAAGAAAAAATTTCACAAAGACATTGGTAAGGCTTTAGAACCAAATCAGTTTAATCTTGTCTGATGTTGTGTAGAGAAGGCAGTGGTTATAAAAACGATAAAAAATTATGATTCTAAGAATCCAAGAAAAATGAAAAAAGAAAATTCTAAAATGAACAATAATGAACCTAAGATCCCAATTAAACAGGTATTCAATTTGTATTATTACAGAAGCCAAATACTCTAAATAAGAGTAAGATAGGTACGATTGCTCCATAATCTACAGGCACATCAGGAACTTTTGTTAGTAAATCTGGATTGGTAATTTTCGACTGATCTTTAGGATTCTATCAAAGAAGAAGATCCAACACCAATGACTAAAACTAAGACAATGTGTGAAAATTCAGATGATAATCATACTTTACAAATTCCGGGGAACCAAAACATTGCAAAATCAGAAGAGTAAGATTGCATGGAGACATATGTTGGGTCCGAAGACATGGCTTTATATTCATAAGGCCTTATTATTATGCCAATTGGTGTTAAATAGCACTTCTACTTATACGATGAACTTTTTTTAACCTCACTCAAGGCTAAAAACTCATTTTTCTTTAGAAGATCAGTGGCGATCTGTGACGAATGCTCAAAATCATCAGGGGTGGATTCTCAATGAATGTGGAAGAAAAATATGGGATTAAATTCAGATGGCAAGTCTCATATTGGTGTTGGTAGTGATCAAGATATGAGTTTTACATCTGTTAAGTCAGAATACAAGTAAAGAGATGTTTATGACAGATTAAAACTCCAATAGAATGAAGATAATAACTTTAGCTCTAATCCAAGGATATTTTATTCAAATTTCTATGCAGAAATTTTACTTGGGGTTTTGGGGTTTTGGGGTTTTGGGGTTTTGGGG